AAACAAATTATCACCATGCGCCTTGTTCAAGAGTAATAGTTTGATCGTCAATGAAATCAATAGATCTACAGAGAACCCCATCGTTCTTATGAAGCAATGATGGATCAAAATAATGCAATATTTAAAGTGGTAATTATCCTATTTCACTTTCATGGATCAAATTTTAATGCGTGTGGGATTCTATAACTACATAGAAGAAAAAACACTTTTCCCACTACTGTAGAACTTTCAACACCCCTAAAAAGATTCGAAAATTGTAACTCTATTTGAGGGAAATTGAAGCTAGGGTCTGATTTTTGGAAAACAAGACGTGATTAAATTAACCTAAATATTTTATTAGCTTGGGATCAAGCTCTTTAGTTTGACTTTTTTGAATAAATTGTTGTCGTGGTAGCGTTAGGATAGGAAGTGCAGACTTTCSGAAACTTGTCAAAGAACAAAGAATAACGTAAACCATATATAAAAGAATGGTTAACTTGAGCCCAGCTAAATAAACTAAAATAAATAAACAGCGGGTAACGAATAACAAAATTCGTGCGTGATAGATTCAATATATGTCTTCTGCCAAGATAACTAGAATTCTACGTCACGCTTGGTACAGACTGCATTCTACAATGAAACATGCACACCTTCGATGTTTAGCTAACTGTTGAAAGGGAAATATGACGGCTACAAGCGTCAAGCCAATTAGGAATTAATCATGTACATTCTTTAATTTCTAGATAATGATAATCGTGCTCTCCAGTTCTTGATAAACATCATGAGCTTCTGATGGAAATTGCGGTTTTGCGGTGTCCGGTCCTCTTTWCTCTCGATATTKAATTTGGAYCCGGATACTATCAATAATGGTTTGGGGGTTTAAAATTCTGTTTCCAAAGCTATTGGTTCTTGTGGTTTCAGTGTCTCTTCGCGCTGCATAAAACGCAAAAGCACATGATCAAAAACGATACCTTATTGTTTTAATTAGAGAAGCACGCAACGACATATATAGGAGAACAATTCAATACGCGCCATCGATGTAAGTAAAAATTTATTTTCG